CCCCCAGCGGAGTGCGGTAACAATATCTCTTCGCCAGCCGCACCCTAACGATTCACGCCTCTTTCACAAGACACCCCTGCAGGAGAGTAAGGAAAGATAAATAGAAAAACAAAGTAAAGCACTTCTCCCCACAGACAACATGGTCTGCGTACCACATCCTAACGGTAACACAGGCCGAAAGTGTCACAACTCCTGATCGCCGGGGGCACGGGTAACGAACGATACCGCACCCCCTGCGAAAATCACGCTTGATGCTTGGTTCATACCCTCGCATGTACCAACATGGACGTGGTGTCCTAGACTATACAGATAAACCCTCGTCGTGCAAAAAAAATACGTACTTGAAATACATGAGCGAACGCGGGAGCGTTCCTCGTGAAGTCGGGATGGGAAGCGTTCACCATCCGGTTTCTGTATATGACGGAGCCCCCTCCCTCTCCCGATCCATTCACCCCGAGGCGAATAGTGCCACATGGCATACACACACCTAGTTATTACGATGAGTTGGGGATCACAAAGCCGCTAGCATGTACTAGGAAAGGCTGCTTACACCATCATGCCACAGGGAAAGTTTTGCTAATATGACGTGTATGGGATTGGAAAGCTGCTAATTTGTACATGTAGCGCTGCTCATAATACGTAGCGAAAGGTAGTGGCTATACACTATATACACACGCAAGCGCCGAAAATTCAGAGCTACAATGACTACGACCCCCGCCGCGGGCCAACAAAGACCAGCACGTGACTTCGTGTACACCTCTACACATGCTATCCTTGAAACGAAGCGACCAAGGGGTGGTGATAATCCACTGCCGGGGACAAAAAATTATTCTCTCATGGGGGGCCGTGGACGTCGTGATTAACTATATTGAGAAAATAGAAATAAGCAACTCGGCCCCTGATCATTCTTCACATCAAGTTGCACTGCACACTTTTCGCGCCCGAGACCCGTGTAGTCCAGGATATCCCAACCCTAAAAAGATACCGACGGACAGAGAGGTACGTGTTCACAGGGAAACACCTAGACAGAGCAAGATCTCGGCCGTTATTGGCTCCCTCCCGCCCCAAACCCCTCTCTTTCCCTCTGCACCCAAACCCGCCCGCTCCGACACTGCGCGAATCCCCTCGCTCTCCGCGATCCAAGCGCGAGTCGGGAGTCGCAGGCCCGTAGCCTGTGACTCTGTTGATTGATACCAACAATACAAAAACAAACCCCTCGATAATTCGATAATTGAATCCCCGAGATGGCCGTCATGATACCGACGCCCACCCCGCAGATCTCTTGGCATCATCCCCCTATCCTATTTCCCAGACTCTCATGAGAAGGAAATGGCGCTAAGCTGCCCGACACGCAAGTCCCGATCATTCTCCGGATCATTCTTGACAGAGGTTTTAAATGAATCACCCTTCGAACCACCTCTAGCTCTTGCTCTCTTCACAATTCACAGCAGTGTCACTTCATGCCTCGTAACCAAAAAGAGAGACACGATACAGAGAAAGGTACATCGACTAGCCGCCAACCTTCACCCACCACGCGGACTCAGGGGGAAATGAAGCGTCGGGAACGGCAAAAGAAAGAACTCAGAAGGGTTGGAAGGCAGAGAACCCAGTTTCATAGCACGAAGGCGCATCATTCAACATGAAACAAGAGAGCGGCCGCTGTCGCCAAGCATTAGTGCACACAACATCGGTCTCCTCGTTTGTGCAGAACGAAGCAAGGCGGGGCGACAGAAGAAAATATAATGTACCTACACGAATCCCACAATCGCTCGGAAAACTTCTTCAGCTTCCAGCCCCACCACTCTCGCCAATACGCCGCTGCCCATTTCCCGGCCACCAGAGGCGTCGCCCCCTGCGCACTCCGTCCCTTGGCGCAGAACCTTCCCACCCGCTACTCGACTCTCCTCTTCTTGCCTCACCGCTCGGACACGGCTCAAGACTAGCGGGCCTCTCCGTCGCCAGGCTCTGTCCGCCGGGGCTTTCGTCAACAACCGCTTCATAGACTCCGCGGAACTGGTGCCGGTGACTACTACCTGCTCAGGGGTGCGTCCGAAGTTATCCCTAGCGGTTTCATCGGCGCCGCGCCTGAGAAGGAAGTCGATATCCGCGGACGAGCTGTCCGTCGCCGGAGCCGCGGCGACGATGTGGAGAGGGGTCCGGCCGTGACCATCGGCGGCGTTGACGTCCGCGCCCCTCTGTAACAGCAGCGCCATCCTCGGCGTGTTGCTGCGCCGGAAGAAGGCGGCGATGTGCAGCGGCGTCAGCCCCACGCGAGAGTCCCGGTGTCCCGGCAGCCAGACCTGAGAGCTCCGGGCTTCGAGGTCAGCGCCGGCTCCCACGAGCGCCTCGATCACGCACGGCTTGCCGCGGTAGGCCGCCCAGTGGAGCGCGGTGAACCCGAACCCGTCGCAACTCTTAACGTCGGCACCGTGCTTCAGAAGGGCCCGCGTCATCGCCGCCTCTCTGCTGCTGCACGCCAGCTGAAGGGGCGAGAACTTGAGGCTGGACCCGTATCGGGCGCTGGGATCAGCCCCGGCCCTGAGCAGGGCCTCCGCAGCTACCGTATGGCCCGCTCTCACCGCCGCATGGAGCGGACACCGCCCCTGGCCGTCCGCTGCGCCCACACGGGCCCCCCGGCGCAAGAGCGTGCCGACGGAGTGGTGGTCGCCTGCGGCGGCCGCGATGTGAAGAGGAGTTTCGCCGCAGCTGTCCTTCGCGTTAACGTCGGCTCCGGCGATCATCACGTCCCCGGCCAGCACGCGGTGCCCCCCCCGGAGGGCATGGTGCAGGGCGCTGCGGTTGTCGGAGTCGAGTAGCGAGACGCCCGCGCCCGCGAGCATGAGCACTCGCGCCACGGCCGTGTGGCCGCCCGCGATCGCTCGGTGCAAAGGCGACCTCCGGTCACTCCCGGTCACAGCGTTGACATCACCCAGGCTCCCGGCCTCTAGCAAGGCCGACACGGTCTTGCTGTTGCCACCCTGGACGGCCGCGTCCAGCAGGCTGCGGCCGTCGCAGCCCTTCCAGCCCGCGCCCCCGTCAGCGCCGGCTCTGAGAAGCGTCGAGGCAAGGTACTGGTTGCCCTCCGCGACGGCGTGCTCCAGGGGGGCTCGCAGCCACTCCGCCCATTGCGCGGGCGTCGCGTGTCTGGAGACCAGCTTGAACAGCTGTTCCTCCGTGCCGCCCAGGGCTGCCGTACGCTCGTCGAAATTTGCCATGCGTCTTCTCTGAGTTGTGCCCCCTCGATCTGTTTTTGTACTGTAGTCTCTAACCTGATTGGTCGCGGAATGTTCACGATCACAGGGCTCGCAGGTTGACCTATACGCCACGACAAGACCAAAAGCAAGCCAGACGCGAAACGGTAAACGGTAGTTGATTCCAAGGGTGATCGCAGAGTTGTTGTTGTGTTGTTGTTGTCTTCACATTAAAAACCGTTCCGATCTCTCTCTACCCAGTACCTTCGTATGTCCGTACTGATACAACACTCGACGCGGTCGATTCCCGTGGTCGCAGGCTAACTTACCCTAAAAACGTACACTCAAAAAAAATGCCCCCGAGGGGCCCGCAAGTCAATAGAAATCAACGACAGATATTCTGGAGTCCTCCACTCCCTCTGCGCGCTATGCGAGGTATAACAGCTGAGACAAGAGGAATCAACATCACGGGCCGGAGAGGAAGAGGTACACCCCATTGGTTCAATCTTGGTATTCACAACGTAAGCAGAGACAAGGCCATCTGGTACAGAAAAAGAGAAGAAAATAAAAGGAAACAGTAAAGGAAGGAAAGAAGGAAAGAGAAAATGAAATAAAAAGAGCGAGGACAAAAACAGGCCGAAAATAACAAGAAATAAGAGACAGAAAAAGGCACAGGGTGGAGAGACCACTAACGACAAGCAAACACGCAAACATGGTCACCAACCAGCGATACATTGTAATGGTACGTCATCACTAGTGGGGGGTTGGTGCAATGGTGCAGCGTTGGAGGGGGGGGAATTGGCTCAGAGAAATTCAATCTGGCACGTATCGCGCCACTCGGCCCGTCTCTTCTCGTTTGCTTTTTCCAGAGTACATGTATATGGAAACGTTGGTGGGAGCACACAAGTGCAATTTAGAACGGGCCCGAGTCTAAGCAATCTCAAGCACAATGGGATCGAGGGTTCCGCCTCGTATTTCGTCGTCGCCGCCGTCGAGCGCACGTCATCGTATACTTGGAGTTTAGAGTGGGATCCACCGCTGAGCTGCTGTGTACCATCCATGTTGTAAGTATTTTTCGTGGCAGAATATTTTGAGCCCCTATCTGATCTTAGTTGTGCGCCCGTTCCGCGTAGCAAATGGCGGGGCTACAACACAACAAACAGTGGGCTCGAGAGACAAAGATATCGAGACAGGTCCTCAAGATTCAGCCTTCCTTTAGTTTGGTTGCCGTCTAGGTATCGGACGTGCAAGAGACGAGGCAGAGAGTAGTTCACTATGATCCCGGGCATTGAAGACGGCCAACCATGGGTAGGCTACCGGCGTGTGCCACAGCACGCCACATACTTGCAGTTGCGACTAATTACCCCGCGGCGAGCGCGCCCACCTTTCCCCTTTTTCTTGGCGGAAAGTAATCGTCTATTATTGCACGTAGATATACTATCAACCTCACTCAGCTTTCAAGAAACCTCGAACTGCTGTGTGGCTGGGCCCGCTACACTCACACGACATACACACCAGTATCGTTGTAGGGTGTGCCTTACGACCGCTGTCAAGAGGTTTCGGAGAGGGACGTGTTTGTGTGGTGGGCAGATGACCGAGACCTACCGGTGACATTTCTGAAAATCCCAGAAGCATGAGCTTCCCATTTATGTGCAAGTGCTGCTGCAGCTTCGTTTTATTATACATGGTAGTTTTTTTTCACGACCCTGAGCATGTCAAATCAAGGGAGACAATCCTTACCTGCGCTCCGTTGGAGTCCGTTGGGGAGCAAGCAACATTGGCGAGTCGGTGAGCAAACGAAACAGCGAAGGAATTCCGCCCCGAACGATCCTTACCACGGTTGGTTGTGGGACCCGGCCTGGAGTGTAGTGTCGTCTTGTTCGCAGCTTGCCACAAACGAGTACTTTGTAACGGAAATGCCCGAAAATGGAATAGAATGTACGCGTAGTCTATGCCTCCAACAGCCAGAGCACCTTTCAAGTTTGGCGGTTGGCGTTGACCCTCACCTCCAGCGGGAACGCACCCTGCAAGACGCACGTCCCTGAATCTACATGTTCAGCACTTGGGTACGTTTTGGTGGGCCACGGCAGCAGTGGAGGAGTGGGGCACTCCTTTTCTCATGAGACGAAGCAGGAAAAAGTCTTTCTTCCGCAAAGAAGATAGACTACAATAGGCAATTGATAATAGGTACCCAACCAACGCTTGGCAGTTGGGTGGCCATACCGGAATTCCGACCCAAGTCGCTTCCCAAAATGGCTAACCACGAGAGGGCTTGGATAGCACTCACCACCGGTGGGGGCCAGAGACCCAGGGAGGAAGATGGCGTGATAGAAGTGGACCGTGATGCGTGTCTTTTGGCTGTCTGCTGTCGAAGATGACCACTTCTGACCAGTCTCCACAGCGTCCCTGGGGACAGCGCGAGGCGGTTGATGGGGGTGGTCTGCAGCTCAAGGAACGCCTCAGCAGATCAACACGTCAACACGCCGATATGACAGTCCCGAGCCTGTTGGTCGCTGCTACCTGCTGCTGCTGCTCCTTTGTTGCTGCACTACAATACCGCTACCGCCCGCTCGTTGTTCATCACGCCGACTCGAGCTTCCCACCCCCCCCTCTACCCGCCTCATCGCAACTACCACAGGTACGTGATGATGAGGGATTTCCTCGTAATATGTACTCTCTGCGCAGACCTTTGTGTGCGGCTGCTCGAGAGACGTGAACTTCACAAACAGCAGCTCTTGCTGACCCTGCGGACACAGCATCTTTAGTCGGTAAGTCTGCACTGACTCTTGTGTCTTGTGGTCCATTTCGGCTACCTCTTTGGATGACCGTCGAACCTTAGCCTAGCCCCCCACAAAAGACCTAGGTTTAGGGCGATGCCGTGAGATGGTCGGCCAACCGCATGCAGGACCTACGCAGAAGTAACTAGCTTTTGCGAGACTGCAAGGAGCAGGGAGCGTGCATCGGTTCACCCACAGCTGAAGTTGTGAAGTCACGATGTAGACTGTAACAACAGCAGTGCGCTACAAGTACTGCAGAAGACGATGTTTTCATGTTATCATGTTGACATAACGCTCTCTCACGACATCCAGAGGATGACGATGCAGGATTTCTACCCTTGTTGTGAGCGTTCGGGAGCGTTGTTGTATTAGTCAAAGTGAAGTACGAGCATGATGGTGGCTTCTATACGGTAGACCTCGCGCTGGCTGTAGTCCACCGCCGTATGCATGTTGCTGTTCAGGTCATACCCACAATACTTGCCATGTTTAGTGAATCGCAGCAGCAGCTAGTCATGCAAGCAGTTGTAGTTTGCGCACTTATGGTAATGATCGCCATGCGACACAGTAATTGCAGCTAGCTGTCGTCTCTTTCTCTTCGCCCGAACAAGCCCTAAGTTAATTTGTACTGATTTGGTACAGCATTTTCGGCAGCCCTATGTAGACTACGTGTTACTACCGCTGTTATTGGCTATCGGTATATCGAAAGATACGTTTGCCTGTCCCGTTTCTTCATCTTTCACTTGGGCTTGCTTCATGATCTACTGTTGTATACCGGCGACTGTGTGATCGCTGAGTGCACTCAACCCATTCGTTCCCGCGGGGTTAGAATACAAGCAACCATGCGGTGGTGAAACAACTCGACATCGCAGGGCATACCACCGCTGTGCATACGCCTCCAATTTTCTTTTAGCAGGAAGCTTGATCAGCAGCGGGAACTATACTAGTGCCGTGGGAAGGGGTACAAATTGCTTCCGCGTCAGTACCGACGGTTCTGCTGCCATCTTATGGTGGAGGAACGAGGAGCCGGGCCGAGAGCAACGATTGACAGCCAAGGGTTGGGTAGCGCTGTTGGTCCGACGACCGGGGGGCAGCAGGGATGCTACGAGCGTCTCCGAGGGAATGGCGGACCTACCCGTCACGTTTGCTTGATGGGGATATCGGAGCGCGACGATGACGCCGTCAGAGAAGTGAGTCTTTCTTTCGGGAAGGTATCGAGTATCGAGCGGAATGCGAAGGTGAGAAGAGATGAGACTAATGAACAGACGGGGCAAATTGTGTGTACGCCACCCCCCCTCTCTGGTTGGTAACTTGACGTGCGGTAATAACAGTAGCAGCGAACGGGTACAGCAAGAGGATGGTGTCTGGTTGTTTTTGGTACGCTTGAGGAGCTCACATACCTTCAAGTCTCTGGTCTACCGATTCTCTGTTCTTGGAACAAAGAGTTATCTGCCGCTTTAACGCTAGACGGGGTTTGGTCACGAGCAGGATGTGGTCCTATATTTTGGGGCTGGCTTTCTTGTTGGGGAGAATGGCGTGGACCTTCCACCCTCCCCTTCCGCTGTTTTGATGCAGTCCAACCTGGCGAACTGCGGTGGTGGCTGTGAACACAGCTTGCTGCTGACACCACAAACACGGAAACTACTTTCCCGTGGTCACATAGCTGCAATCACCAAACCTTCGTCGCGTGCAGCCTTGCTCCCGGTATTATTAACTCGAGTGCCGAAACTGCTTTGGCCCTTACTTAGGAAACTCACGCCCCCAGGCATGGAACCCAAACATCCCCCTCCGAATGGCAGAACCGAGGCATTCGGGTAGTGACGTACGATGCAGTCGCAGATGCGACGGCTGCCCAAGCGGGTCTCGCGGCGAGACTCTCTCCTCGAATGGGCCGAACCGTGGCGGTCCATTTTTGCTCCCTGGTCCCTCCGAAGGTGATATACACATTCTTATTATCACTATTTTTCTTGTCTTCCGTGTCGTCGGTAAGAGTGACTTACTGTAGTGCGCACATCGGGGCAACCGGGTGCCTGTTGCTATTATTTTCCACGTCACGTCACAACGAGCCGGGGATAGAGGCACCACTGCATTCTTCCTATGTAGTCCCAGCCAATCAGCGATGCACGCCTTTCCTCAGGTACCACCCCTTGTTTGAAAATGCGCGGACCACTCGGATGCAATATGAATATCCCAATGGTCCCTATATCTCCGAAAAGGATGGTAGAAAAGCTAGCAACAGCAGTTTTTGGAGATAACTGCTGTGTAGCGATAGCACGTCGTTTCCTCCTGGATCAAGCCCGCGAACGATGCACTCTCTGTCATACGCCGATCACATCTACAGCATGCCGCCGGTCTTTTGCCCCCCGACTGCAACACCCCCCCCGATATGACTACCCACGGAAATGATTGTAGCATCAACAATCCTGACTGCTGACTATCGCCTAATTTTGCCTCAACGCGGACATGTCCGGCAAAACTCTCCTTGCTTCTCAGGGGTAATTGACGGTTCGGTTCTCGTATTTTTCTCCCTCTCTCGTTTTTTTTTTCAACAGCCGCGGGAAGGCTTGCGCTGTACTTCGGAGACCGCTGGCGTGGATGTTCCAGGCCTGACATTGATCAAAGGGTTTGTTACAGAGGAGGAAGAAGGTTCCTTGCTGAAGCACTTCGTGCAGGGTGACGACGTCCGATGGACAGGCCCTCTCAAGCGTCGAGTTCAGCATTTCGGGTGAGAGCTTTCGCGTACGTATCGGAGGGGAAGGGTTCGATGGTCCTCTGCGGGAGGCTCGGGATACATAGAAGTATACACTTAGCGCCTGCAAATAAAGAACCTCTATTACAGTTTTTGCTGAGGCTGGGATTCTTACAGTAGTTCCTAGGTTATGTTGCGAATGACCGCTACGTAGGTTTGAGTTTAGGGGCTCTTTACCGAGCTCACAAGGTGCTCAAGTTCTTAGAAGATGTAGTGTTTTTCGAGGCTATATAAATTTCTTCATAAACTGCCGCGTTGTTAAGGGCGGGTGCTAGCTGTCAGAGCAATTCGCTTGGGTTACGATCATACCGCTGCCTCGGATTTGTTGTGTGCGTTGTTCCGCTTCTGGTAGTGGTACCGTTTTACTGTCAGCGTGCCCCCTTCCCTGTTTCTCCGATCGTTCGATTGTTGCAATGGAGTTCGACGGTGTGCGGCATTGCCGTCTCATTTCGGCACCCGTCCCCTTCCGGTGAGACCGACCGTTATTGCTTGCCGCGTACGGCGGAGATAAATCGATATCTTGTCGAGGACGTTGTAAGCAAAATCGACAAAAGTGTCCACAGCAGAGGCTTGCGTGTTGTTTTCCTTTGTCGTGTCAGGCGGGTCTTCGACTACCACACAAGGCATGTGGACTTCGATGCCCCCGCCCCGCCGCTGCCGGAGTGCCTGACGGACGTCGTGAGGGAGATGGGGGATCGAGGTCTCAAACCGTCGGACCCGGATCAGTTGACCCTGAACGAGTACAAGCCGTGAGTGACGCACAAATGAAAAGGCCTGAAGGAATCGTCAGCTGTCTGTTCACTATTCCCTGTTTTTTCTTCCTGAGTGTGGCACCACAAGCCAACAGGTGTCATGCTTTTTGTACTTCAGAGCAAATGCTCTCGGATCAATCGCCCGGAAGATCACCGTGTGCTTGTGTATGTAAATGCCACCGTCCGTTATTTGTAGCTGTGCTGCAAAGGAGGCCGGGGCGTGTGTTTCTATGTCATTCGGCTAGATTCCGCGCTAAGTCTGTGAAGTTATGACGACCTCGAGCTTCCCCGCTCTGCGACCCACATCAGGCTGGCAAGAGTTGCCACTCACCACATGGAAAGGGCCGTTTCGTACGATTTGTTTCTGCGGTTGCTGTCGATAATCGAGGAGACCTGTTCCCACAACCTAATACTCGCCCACGGTATTAACCATCCGCCTCTGGTGCAGAAGATAAACATGGTGCATGAACATCGGTTTCGTTTGTTCGGCAGCGATAAGGGATTCGGACTGCCGCTTGCACCCATTCATTTTCCCGCCAAACGCCTTCATTTTGTTTTGTTCCCCAGGGGACAGGGGATATCTCCCCACGTGGACACCCACTCGGCGTTCGAAGACGGCTTGGCTTCGCTTTCTCTCGGCAGCGGTAAGTGTCAAGTGCCATGCGTCAAGTGTCAAGCTCTTCTTTGAATGGCAGAGGCAACCTTTGTCGGAGAATGTGTAGCCCAGGCCTTTCTAGACACGGTTAGGTGTAGAGGGTGACGCACTGCAGGAGGAAGGCGGAAAAAAAAAGCTGTGAAGGCTTTTCTCCGTTGTGACTCCGACTGATGCGTCCAAAATCATGGAGAAGCTTGTATTGATGGGTGCCTGGAGTGGTTACGTGTGAACACTGTGTTCGTTAGGTGTGTATGCTGTGGCGCTACTGCTGTATGCTTGCAGTAGTGCCACCTTTCTTGTGGGATGCGGCGGCTGGGCGATATTCCATCGCTTGCTCTCGACGACGTGTATTTACTAGCTGTGTCTCTTCTTGGTGCCGACACAGGAAGAACGTGCTGTACCACGGGTAGCGTCAGGGAAGGTGCTTGTTGGAATTATTTTTTGGGGGAGATTACGGACTCGTATATACAAGGGCGATTATTTGGCAGGGGGCACAAGTTGCGTAGCTTGCGCGCCAGCGCTCACCTTGTACTCGCCCCAACCCCTGGAAACATTTCAATCACGTTTATCCGTGCTCCCAAGACCTGACGTGCGTACGTTTGTCGACTTGTTTTCTTCGTTTTCCAGCAACATATGGCCTCGAGTTTTGTTTTTTTGTGCTCTTTGTTGCCGCCGCCGTCACTCCTACACAGACAGCTGTCCTAACCTCAACCATTACGTCATTCTTTTCTGTCGAAAGTGTTACCCCTACTGACGGTAACAAGCCCGTACCACCACCACTGTTCTACCTACGCAGGCTGCGTGATGGACATGCGGCATCCGGACGGTGTGCGCGTGAAGAACTTGTACCTCCCGCGAGGCTCCTTGCTTGTTATGGAGGGTCCCGCGCGATACGAGTGGTCCCACGGGATCGCCAGCCGCAAAACTGACATGGTATGTGCGGTGTATTGTCTCCGAATACAATCCTACCCCAACCTTAACTTGCTCCGCTGTTTACCACGACGCGTCGATGATTGTAGCGTTGGGTCGTTTAGCGCCGTGTGTGGTTGAGGAAGCCGGCGACAATGCACATGGTGTGTTGCCACGCGTCTATTTTGTGTATTTAAAGCCGAAGTGGGAGCATTTGGCGAATGGTCCTTCCTGGTTGAATGGTGGATGGCAGCGCAAGCCGTTCTTCCTGATGTGTGCGCTGTCTAGCAGTAACCAATTTCGGAGCCTGACGCCTCCCCCCCTCGCTCCTCCATGTTCTCATGCCGCCGTTGATTGCCACACATTTCTCAGGTTGACGGAGTGCTGACGAGGCGGTCGACGCGTATTTCGTTCACGTTCAGGCGCGTGCGAGACCCGGCTGTGGCGTGCGGGTGCGACTTCGCTGGGAGCTGCGATCGAGAGGCGCCTGTGGCCACCGCCACCTTTCTCAAGAAAGGGTGACCGCTAGGGATTTTTGTTACGGAAACCAGCACGCTACGGGGCGTTGGGATGCCAATCCGATCCAACCGTGATAACATAGGCCATGTCCTCTTGCGTAGCCCCCCGGGAGGCAAGCCACCTACCACCCGAAGGGGAGCCTTGCAGAGAGTCCGATATATTGGTGGTGTAGGGGATTTCCTTCACGGGACACCAACAGCAGCAGGTAGGTATGGTCTGGCTGAGGGAATGTCTGTTGTCTTTAGACGCAGGCCCTTCGTCGGTAACAACGGAGGGTTTTGGGTTTCCACCTGCCGGGCTCATTCTGCGCCAAGCATAGAATGCCGCGGGGTATTGGGGGAGTCGTGATGGAAGAACTGGTGCTGCTGTTGTTGACGAACTCAGACTGTTCGCTGTGTTTATGCTGTGTTCCTTCGTGCGGACTGCACATTTTAGATTCGGACACGTGACACAGAATCGGCTTCGGCCAGTATGCATGAGAGATGGTTCTTCGGAATGGTGGCTGTGTAGAATATGCTTATGTTCGAGTTGTTGCCACAAGAGAAAGGCAGCTCGGCGGCATTTTCACGCTACTACAAAAAAAGGTTTTCATTCCATGCTGCTGCTGTGATGCTGTGTTGGCCTGTGATCACGGAAGGCTCCCACCAACTCCAACGTTGCTAGCTCGACCGTTACACTTGATTGAGCAGCGTGTAACGCGTTTTTTAATGTGTGGACAACCACAACAGACTGCCATGATGAGGAAGGCGGGGGTCTCGAGTCAAAAGGGGGAGGAGCGGGCAGGGGGCGCTAGATAGATGGGACGAAAACACAAAACGCACACCCGCCTGATGGCAGCATGCATCATCGACGGCGGAGACGTGACGGCACCGACCGGCGATTGACCGATGATATGCATACAACACTTGCATAGCCTACTGCTGCATGCAGTCTTCGATATTTTTTGATGGTGAAGCAAGGTGAAGGGCCCTATTTTTTCTTTTTTTTTCTCCCATCATTGGACTCTGTCGTCTGCCTCTCTGGCACCTATCCTCCACTTCTACTAGCTAGACGACCCAACCGGGGTCACATAGGAGGGGGGGGTTGGACCCCCTCCTGCGGTTCATGCCTGAAGTATTTTTATCGCGAGAAGGGTACAGCAATCCCTTCCCTCGCGACTTACGAAGTCGATTATGGTTTACTAACAACCGAGCTTTGCAGCGCGTCGCTTTCATCCTAGACCAGGATTTTTTTTTGTGAGAAAGAAACTCTCTCTGCCTATGTAACCACCTAGAGACTACACCCGATGATGGCGGGGTTGCTCATGTGCGAGAACAACCGCCCCTCGAAATAATCCAAGTGATGATGGGATTTCGGTGATGGAGGCAGTTGCTTGCTCGAATAATCATCGCCGCAGCCGAAAAGTCGACAATCAGATGGCAACCTCGAAATAAGTGAAAAATATGTATGATCTCGTTGTCCTTGCAAGTGCAATTTTGGCAAAAATCTCCGCCAATATTTCCGCCGTCCTGTCTGTACGGTATCCTGCAGTCTAGGTTTCTCACGGTATCTACCATACACGCTCAATGAAAGGTTGAATCCCCACCCCTGCTGTGTAGAGCGGCCACAACGTGGCGAGTGTCCAGCAAGAGAGGAAAAGACGTTGTTATGTGTTTAGTTTTGTTGCGTTCCCGAGACCAATATGCATGTGTCGACAATATACATGTGTCCACTATAATAATAGTCTGTAGCGTGAGAGAAAACAGAGATAAAAAGCCTGTTATCGGCCGAGCCATGTACACAGACGGAGCATGGTCCCGCCGCATGAACAAACCGGTGGGGTTGCACCTCTCTCTCTTGCGCCGGAAAGCTTGCAGTCGTTTGCACCAGCTGTAAATACCGTCTACCGTGTTTGCCTGCCGGGCTGGATGGGCTTGTATGGGATACAGGAGTTGGCAATATCCCGAAACGAAAGTCGGCGGGGGGGAGCACAAAACACTAGCTGCGAGTCCCCCTCATAAGAGAGCCAGGCAGGCCCTTCCCAGGACAGAGAGGTTACGACAAGGATCGACGGGGGTAGAAGCTGAAGTTCAACGAATATATAACTACTCAGATGCAAAATGGTGAGTCCCGGGTTGTGGGCGTGTCCCTCTGCTGGTTGGTGCTTCCAGGGCACGTTGCTTGGGGGCATTCAAGGCCACACTCGATTATTTGGAACGAGATTCGAAAGACCCAAGAGATCACAGAAATTCACCAGAAAATTTGGACGCCATCTGCTGCGAGGCATATCACGGCGCTAGCGCTATCCTCGATATCTGGAGAAGGCGACGGCGGCCTCTCGGACGACGAAAGCGTTACGGTCGCGCCTATGCGGGTCGTGCGCTGCTGTCATCTCGCAGAGGGCCTCGATAGGCTAGGGGTCGGGGGTTTGTTGCCTATGTCAATCTTTTTCTTGGAAAGCCATCTTGCCCGTATATCCCTGACTCTCCTCTCTCAAGCTTGTTTTTTGGTGCCCGAGCCGCGCGACGTCATCTTATACACCGCCTAGAACAATCCCGTGCATCACCCCGACTACGCCCTCTGAAAGACCACGCGCTGCTCTGTCCAAACGCGCGGGAGGGTGTGGATCTCTCGCTGTGTCTCGCGCAGCCCCTTTTGTCTACGGAAGGACCGAACAGTATTGTTTGTCGGCTTTCCAAACAGCACCGAGGATTCTCAGCCGCGCAAAACTCTGGTGCTGCTGCTGTTGACAGACTTGGGCGGGGCTGGACCTCAAAGTTTAAGTTTGAGAGCCCGCTTTCGAAAATGGCCATGCCGTTGTACACGCACCTCCTACCACCTAACGTGCCTAGCGCACAGCTCGCGTGCTTTCCCTGTGCTAGGCCCCGGCCGGGGGACGGAGGCTACTCCGTTTGTTGGAGAAGTAGAGTTTTCCGACGAGTTACCGAGTTGCTCCGCCGCGAGATAGTACCATCCACCCAACGTCCAAGCCCACGCGGAAATTTGTATTTTCTCAAATCTGTCTCTGTCTGTTGTGATGGAAGGCAAGGTTAGGGACCGTTCTCCCACAGGAGCCTGTTTTTCAGCCCCGGATACCGCAAGAACAAACTGATCTATGGTGACACGTCCTCCCTGTGTGAACGGAGAAAGTCTTTCAGGCTGGATACTGGGTAGCATTTCGGTCTCTCTTTAGTTTCATTTCCCAAGAAGGGATTTGTGGGGGGGCGGAGAGAGAGAATATATTTATTTTTCGATCTTGCTTCTGTGGCGGGTGTTTTGCCGTCGGTTCCGCTCAGAGCGACGACCGTTGGTCAAGAGTCAAGACCAGCATCTGCTCCCGTGGCAAAAATCAATAAATAATCGACGTGTTCGATTCGAGACACAGACCACGGACATCGAAACAGGCCGCCTTTTTTTTTTTTCACGCGCGCTCTTCGTATTTCCAAGTGGCGGCCACTTGTCACCAGCTTGTTGTTGCTGTCAACCCTAACCTTGTACTGACTAGTTATAAGCAGCGGTGTTGCGTGCCGTTCCACCTATGGCAGTCAGCTTCACGCCCACCCACCCGCCGGTGCGTTAAAACTTGTGCCGCTGGCGGTGTGTTGTCGGAACGTTGGTGCTCCGTCGTCGTATCCATCGCACATACTTGGAAGTAGTTTGTTTTTCTTTTGATTTGAACAGTGTAGGTTGGCATCTGTGCACCAAATAAATGTACCGGCCGGGGCTTCTGTATTTCTTTTTACGCCGACAGCAGCAGCAGCAGCTCTGCAGACACGCCTTTTTCCGATATCCTCCGCCGCTCCCAAACCGAATTTCACACTCGCGCGAGCGCCGAAAATATCTACTTGTACAACCCTTCAAACTCTCCTCCCGCCCCGTCCCCCTCCCCCGCTCCGCGCAGGCTCCAAGTACGTCCCGCCGCACCTGAGGGGTGGTGGGGGCGAAGAAGGCCCAGGTCCCGCTGCCGTCCAGCCTGCGGGGATTCCGGGGGGACCGGGAGGACCAGTCCCTGTGCAAGGCGCCCCTCAACCCACCGGCGCTTGGGCTCCGCGGCCGGGGACCGGCGGCTACCAGGGCAGCG